CTGCTGAACAGTCAGCATTTTTTCAGCTCCAGATTGCAAACCACTGCACTGGGTTTTCAGAAGTACCTGACAGGCAACAGTGGCTCCACAAAAAGGCAGGACTTTGCTACACCTGTGCTGAACTGAGGATTGTGGTAGTTCTGCAGAGGATGACAAGTGGTAGCACCTCTGCTAGAAAGAGACTGTATATATGAGGACAGTAACCAATGCATTTATTCGCAAGTTATGCAAGCCTGCAGAGCTCAGTCTGAACATGCACAACAGTTGTATGAGGCAAAAAGAGGAAAAAGTCCCCTCCTGTTTTTTTGTGATTATTCATTGACCATTGGAAGAGAAGCATTGACACTTGCCCTCTGAAGAGACAAACCATCCTTGTATTTATATATGGAGAGACAGACACGTGCTTGTTTTCAAACTGCTTGTTAAGTGCACAATAAAGACTAATAACAGACTGATACAGAAATGAATTCACCTTAGATGTCAACCAGTATATTTAAATAGATCAACTGAAGAATGACAAATGCTTGGTGAAGTAAAGGCTTTTTTTTGCAGAGGACACTTATCAGAGCACATACTTCTATTTGGCACTTGAATTATCGCACCACCTTGGTCACCGTGTTAGAGAATTTGTGGAAGGGTGTTTACATACAGCAGAGCACACTGCTGTATGAGTTAGTTCTGTGAAGGGACCTGAGACCAGTTGTCTTTAATACATTTATTTTTCCTTTGCCTCAATTAATTGAATTCATGTTGGTGATTAATTTTTATATTTTTTACATAGGAGAGGACTAAAGCTGAAGTGCTATTCCTGAAGTCCCTGGAAGTATTTGTTTGCTCAGTCTGAATTTAGCAGATGGCAGCTCAGTCTAACAGCTCTCAGACTAAACTAGCATCTACCACAGGGAACCTGTTCCCCACGGGAAGCAACATCCCCTAGGAGAGACTTGGCAACTACGAGGACCTGCAAAGCAATATCACTGACTCACCCTGTGACCCCACATCTGCACAGTGAGCAGTGACACCATGCTCAACAAGGCTACTTCTCACACTTGTCTGGGCAGAGGTTCAACAGAAACATTCAACAAAGGCAGAGGCACCAACATTGTTAATTCGTACTCCCTTGTAGCACCAAGCTTGATTTACTTGGTTTACTTGATTTATGTAAAATGACAAAGAAAAGCCTTTCTTAAGCTTGGATGCCTTGCTAGCTGGCTGCTGTGCTTCTGCAGAGGAACAGATGGACATGACTGCTACTGTGCCAGACTGTCTGGCCTAGTATAGAGGGTACCTAACTCCCAAGAAAAAGTTTTCAAATCATGTGTGGCTGGCCCTGAGAGCACTGCCTTGAAACATCATGATTAACAGACTGGAGCACTCTCTGGATTTTCAGCTCCTACCAGAAGAGGCGTCCATGATCTCATCTACAACTAGTACATAATAATTTCTTGAATTAGCTAGTCCAGTAGGCCAAACAGTTCATAAACCTTTCATTTATATTAGTATGAATATAGGAAATTATTGTTATTGTTCTTGTTATTATTATTATTATATGAAGTATAGAATTGCGTGATTAGTATGATGGCCTATGAAGATGCTCAGAGGGCTGGAGCAGCTCTACTCTGAAGACAGGCTGAGAGAGTTGGGGTTGTTCAGCCTGGAAAAGAGAAGGCTCCAGGGAGACCTTAGAGCACCTTCCAGTGCCTGAAGGAGCTCCAGGAAAGCTGGGAAGGGACTTTGGACAAGGGCAGGGAGGGAGAGAATGAGGAGGAATGGCTTAAAGATGGCTGGAAGAGGAGAGATTTAGGTTAGACATTAGGAGGAAATTCTTCACTATGAGGGTGATGATACACTGACCCAGGTTGCCCAGAGAAGCTGTGGCTGCCCCATCCCTGAAAGTGTTCAAGGGCAGGTTGGATGGGGCCCTAAGAAACCTGGTCTAGTGGGAGGTGTCCCTGCTCATGGCAGAGGATTGGATCTAGATAATCTTTAATGTCCCTTCCAACCCAAATCGTTCTATAATTCTATGAATATACAGTGTTGTGCCCCAAAAGAGCACCTGTATTGCTTGTAAAGGATGAGTCTGTAAAATCCAACATACCTTCAGTCATTGATTGCCTAATGCCTCACTGGCACTGCTTGCCATCACAGTGTTATGTGTAAAGTTTGTTCACCTAGCCATTGTATTGTGTACTGTGTATCTAGCTAGACATGAGCCTTTGTGCTGGGCAACTAGAACAATACGTGTTAAGTTGATAACACATTCCAGGAGACCGAAGTTGTTTATTCAACTGGATGTGCTAACGAACTTTTGTTTCAGGAACAGGCCTAAGAACTGCATGCTTCTGAACTTTGATATGTAAAACTTGAGATTACACAGGCGCAGAGTACACCACGAAAGACTATTAAAGAAGACACATGAAAGAGGAAAAGCGTCCAGAGGAGGAGAGATTACTCCCTGGCACCCAGCGCTGTTACCTTGCTATTTTTGCTTGCTGTAATTAATAAATTTCTGTTTCATAACTCCGATTGGCTTGGAGTCTTAAATTCCCTAATACAACAGTGCTGAGTCAGTTTTGCCACTGACCATAACTGGTGAGTGAACCCTCCTAGTCTTTGTCTCAACCCATGAGTTTCTAGTTGGCCTTGGTCCTCCCCATCCCACAGTGGGGTGGAGGTAATTGAGCAGCTGCATGGCTGGCTCTTTGTTGTCAGCTAGGGCCAAACCACAACACCGAGCAAAAGCTTTAAGGGAATTCTGCTTTTATAGAAAACACCTCTCCAATAAGCACAGAAATGGACACACTACTTCTCCCCTCACCTCCATACCATACAAACCATACACAGTTCCTTCTCAGCATCTTAAAGAGACCATCCTATAATTTTTTCCACTGATATTTGAAATCATGGTTACTTACAGCTTGTACCAGCATTGTTTCTATTACCAGATTTCCATTATGGAAAGTAACAGCTTAGAGTACTGTAAAAAATCAGAACCAGGCCATCTTCATGCAGGGTTCACTTTGCTCTTTCCAAGAGAATTTCAACATTTCTCAGAACTCCTGCACCCTACATCCCAATGAAAGAATTCCAAACCTCCCATTTAGGGAGAATATCCTGGTCTAGTTTTTCCTTTAGCTTATGAAGGTGAGTTTAAACATCTACCTCTGATAAATAAAAACTGACATTCACTGTTATGCATATAAACCAACAATGTGGCATACATATATATTACACTGAAAGGTATTCTCTAGCTTTGCTCTGAAAACCACTGGGGGATTTTTCTGTTTTCATCCTTATAAAAGCTTCAATAAGCTTGTCACGAATATACTCAGTTTAAAATTTTATACTCATTTTACACAACCTCCCAAGAGGTCTTGTCACTGTTAAACCAGGTTGATGCTTTTTAAAGTATGAAAGAAATTCCTTCTTCTACTTCACCTTTAGACAACACCATGTCATACAACCTAGTGAAGAAGAGGTTTTTTCTTCACTGAATTCCGATTAGGTAGGAACACAAAGAAATTCAACTTGTAAAAATGGTATTATGTGTATTAGAGTAGCATTTGATGGGGTAACATACTTAACGAGCATAAACTTTTCTTCTAAAACTTTGCATTCTGTTCCTCACCTGCTATAACAGAACCATGTGTCTGGCCTGTTTCAAAACAGTTTTTCTTCTGGTGATAATAACTGGGCTCCATCACAGCCTATTACCACCCAACACTCTGGTTTTCAGGCTCTGTTTTACACAGACCAAACTATTCAGCTGCCAGCGTTTGGAAAGCTGAAAGTGCATTTGCAACTGAAGGCAACATTCAGAGACCCTTCTGCAGCAAAGCCCTTAAAGCAACTTAAAACATTTTTCAAATGCTCTTGGCCATTTTATTTATTACTACTAACAAAACTCAAGACTTCTGAAATGTGATTCCTTGTCATGCAACCCAGTGGCATCCCTAAGACTCCCTAACATTGTGCTCTGTCTTCACAGACATTCCACGGAAAATAGCTTAAAGATCTGTAGATAAACAGTGATAAACAGTGTAGGCACAACTACTTTAAAGGCTAGGGATGGAGTTACAGTTACTGCAGTGTACATATTATTCTGTGTAACTTGTAATATATGAACATGAAGAGGAAAAAAACTAGTACACATTTCAAAGCAAAGACTGTTCTAAGAGTGTCACAGAACCACAGGGGGGTGAAAAAAGAAAAAGTAATGTTTAAGTAAAGAAACCCATCTTACAAGTCTTTATTTCTGAAAAGTCACATCTCAAAGTCTTTAATCACATTCAAACTTATCAAGATAGCAGCCTACCAATCTGAAAGACATACTAAGCAATAAGAAACCATTATAATCTCTAAGAATCAACCACAATTTATTAGGTTTAAAAGAATTGATGTATTCTCTAAGAACATTTCTAACATATATTCACCACTAATGTTTTGCCATAAAACTTCAGTACTGCCCTGATGTGGTTAACATGTAGTACCAGGAAAAAAACACATGCTTAGCAATACCTGGTGAAATGATGCTCAGTACTGTCTGAATGACAACACCTTTGGTGTAGAAAAGAAGATATATTAACAAGGAATTCCAAAGTCTAATCTAGATGCAGCGAACACTCGTGCAAGTCGGCTTGTTCTGGTTTGGTTTGGTGGGTTTTTTTGGTGGGGGGAAGGGCCCCAGGAGTGGCTCCCGTAAGAAGCTGAGAAGCTCCCCCTTCGGCTCCAAACCAGCCAAGGAGCCATTAGAGGGACAATAGATGCGCCTCAGCGATTAACATACGAAAGAGCTGAGCAGAGAAGGACTTGTGGAGGAGAAGAGCTGTGCTGGAGGAGAAGGGCTGTGCAAGAGCTAGGCAGCTGTGGAAGCCTCCGGCCCAGGGGAGTTGACTGTTTCCGAAGCCCCCGTGACTCTGGGAGAAGCCGACGCTGGAGCTGCTCCGGACCTGGTGGGAAGGACTCATGGAAGAGAGGTTCGTGGAGGACTCTCCCATGGGAGGGACTCCATGATGAAGCAGGGCAGAACTGTGAGGAATCCTTCTTCCTGAGGAGGAAGGAGCAGGAATCACCAGGCTGTGCAGTGACTCTAAACCCCATCCCCTGTCCCCCTGTGCCGCTGGGGGGAAGGAGGGAGAGAAACCGGGAACGAAGTGATTTGGCCGCGGAAGAAGGGAGAGGTGGAGTAAGATATGCAAGCCCTGCTCTGTGTGTGTCTGTGTCCTGTGTATGTTGGATTAGTGTGAAATTAAATTATTATTGTTCCCCAAGTTGAGTTTGTTTTGCCCGGGACCTTAATTGGTGAAGGACCCTCCTTGTCCTTTGTCTCAACCCATGAGCTTTGTCCTCCTTAACCAAGGGTGTGCCTGGGGGGAGTTGAGTGAGCAGCCATGGGGCTGTTTCTTTGTTGGGTGCAAACCAGGACATGCCTGTAAAGGGTATGCATAACTCACAAATATACACTTTATCGAAAATGGTGCTAGTGAGCAGTTTCTGCAACAGCCACAGAATCAGTTTTCTGATGCAGGAGAGTTAAACAAGTAGAAGATAAAATTAAGTTGCCAAAGGTATTTTTTTCCCTTCACACTAGCCAGCTATTTCTATCACACTCAGCTTTCTCCAGCTGGTTACTACAAGACACCCTCCCACATTACGATTTCACCTAGAAGAACTGCAGGTAACCAAAACCTTTGTAAGCACTGTATTAGCCCTTCTACACCCAGCTCAACACCCAAACCACTGCCCCTACAGTGCTCTCCTGAGGCTGCAGCACAGGACTCACAGCTGCACAGTGCAGCACAGCACTCACAGCCTCTGACCATGGTCCATTGTTGCTGCCACCCTACTCAGTCCCAGGGCTGCTGCTTTCCCTGTCCCCTCACACCCAGCAGGATGGGCTCTGGGCTAACTCCTGCTTGGTGGGGACCAGCCACAGAGCAGGTGGGCTGTGGCCACCTGGGAAGGTCTGTGCTGCCCCAGCTGGGGGATCCCCAAGGTCCCCACACACCTTCTCTGCTCTGGGCGTTGGTGACCTGCAGGGCACAGCTGGTCACCTTCAGCTTCTCTTGGCCCATGATTCGGCTCTTGAGGTCATGCAGGGAGATGTGGAGGCCACTGAAGGTGACTGCAGCATAATTCAGCTTGGAGAAGAACTTGTAGTAGACATGGGACATGGCTGAAGAGAAATGCCCACACCCCAGCTCCCACACAGCACCAAGCAGCCGATACACAAGGTTGCTATGGTTGGGTGCCCCTGCTTCAGGGGTTCCAGGGGCTCCAGGGGGTTCCAGAACACCAACCTCATAGGCAGCCCGTCACTGCCCCAGGTCCCAGGTTTCCCTGCTGCTCCCCCAACCTGTCACTGCCTTGGGATCCTGGTGTCCCTGGTGTCCTCCTGGCCTGTCACTGTCCAGTGTCTTGTCACCTCCAGGTCTGTAGTGTCCCTCCTGTCACCCTCAGGCCTTCACTACCCAGCATCACCTCCTGTCAGCCCCTGGACCTGTGATGGCTCTCCCACCTGAGTTTCTGGGCACTCTAGCTACTCCTTTCTATTCATGTCAATATAATATTAAAGCCTCGTTGTTGTCTGCCAGGGATAACGAGGGAGCTCCCATGACTTCTTGGTTTAGATCTTTAAATTCCTTTTGGGTTTCTGCAGCCAGGAAACCCTTTTGATTTCATTGCTGTCCTCTGTATCACAAGGAAGACTTGTTTTTTCTATTTGTGACTATGTGTTTCTCCTGTTATTAGGGATCGGAAGCCTATGTTTTAACATGGTAGCCTTGCTTATAAGCCTGTGATGGAGTATGGATTAGATATATTCATTCCATAATTCGGTGATGGCAGCAGTCCAAATGACAGCAGAAGAGGCAAATAAGCCCAACTGTTGGATGTACCCATCCTCTACCAGAAATCAAGTCTCCTGGGTATCTGTACCACTGTATCAGTGATACAAGGACAGGTTATGTTATGCACTTCCACTGAAGAAGGGAAACACCTTAGAACCATACAGATGAGAAGGGGAGTCTCATGCCTGGAAATTTCCATACATCTGTTCTTATGCATAAAAGCAATCAGAATTCCTCCACAGATTCTTTCAAAACCTTACTATATAGTATATCCACTGACCGTCAAAGGGAGATTCTCCAGAAGCCCTTACATAAAACCTATTGTAATAAGCCATCGCTCTGTAGAGTTCTTCCTGGATGTAGCTGATCAGGCCCTGCAGACTCTGCGACAATATGGATATTCACAGATTACCTTGGTATTCTGCAGGAATCTGTAATCAAACCAAATGTTAAGTTTGGTTGCCATTTATAGGCCTATAGGATCCTGATTGCTCCAAGTCATCTACTTTTGGGTCTGAACATTACTGGTTTACCTGAACAACCGAATCTGGCACCCTGCTACAAGGAAATAATTTCCATGATTCAGACTTACTTGGAGATTATAGTACCCACTGACACAACTACCATAGCAATATTATCTAGATGGAGAAAGGGCATTTGAGCATTCAACCTCAACTTGAGCCAAACAATGTATTCTAACCTCCACACAGGTTTCAACCAGTGTCTCTTCAGCCTCTCTAGCTATTTACAGGAAGAAGTGTTACAGCCCTCTGACAGAATGTGGCACCAAGTTTCACCTCTCTGTAACAGCTTTTATCCCACAATTAAGGGTTGCAGAACTAGGAAGAGCTACTGCAAATGAGCCAAGAGAGTTAGAAAAAGCCATTAATGAAAGCACAGATAGTATGATAGCCCTACAGGAAGAAACTGAATTATTATCACAAATGGTAATATAGATTAGCCCTACACCACCTTTTAGAAGTACAGGACAGAACATGTGCAATATTGAGCAGTAGCTGCTGCCATTTTTATGTAAATCAAGACCAGAAAAACTAAACGGAGAGAGACAAGATAAAGACTCAGTAAAAAATATTGCTTGAGGTAAGGCAGGTATCTCCCCTGAATCTACCTGGATGGCTAACCTCTTGGCTCCCAGACACAGAAGACTGAGAGGATTTAGGTTATTGTGTTCACTCTCGTTTTGTTTTCTAAGTATGTATGTGTGTTAGCATTGTATAACAGTATGGCCTTGACTTATGACTTAAATAATGAATAGTACAGTGTGACCACTGATGGTCAAAAGAAAAGGAGGGACTGCTAGGAAAATCTGAATGCCTAACTATGGCACTAGTTCATCTTGAGAGGATGAAATTGTATGAACTTCCTTAAGAAATACTCAGTTTACACTGGGTGCTGCACAGCTACGGTTCAGTCAGCAATGGCTAAAGGGCTCTAGCTCATTTGCAAGGAGGACAGCCCCACCCTGAAGGAGAAATTATACCCCTTCAACACTGCTGTGAAACCCTCCCTTTCCCTGGCATGAGAGATACAGAATGGCAGCAAGACTGACTCCAGGGGTGTCTGGATCAAGAAAGAAGCAGATGGAGAACTATGCCACAGAATCAGAGTGGCTTTGCAAAACAGCAGCATCTGTTTGCGTGTGCATGTTAAGTAGTGATTGGTCAAATTGTGTTGTACTTGAGTGTTTGAAAGGATGAAGACCCACATGTAAAACCACATTTGAGGTGCCCCAGTTTGACTGGGACATCTCACTTACATGAACAGATAATTACTCTTATCATTCTGTACTTTGTGTCCTAGCTTGTCTGCTTGGTTGGCATGGGCCAGTTGCAAAATTTTGGTGACAATACCCCTCTACCCATTCTGAAAGTTATCCTTGAGGGCCCGGAATTTCCCCTAGAGGTGGCCCAGAAGCCAACCGTTCAGCAGTGGACGCTTCACCTCCATCATCGCGCTGTCCTCCCAGGAACTCACTGCGCAGGAAGGACTCTCACTGAAATTGTAACCCAGCTGGACTGCCTCAAGAATGAGAAAGTGATACACCACCCTCTCCTGTGCCAGATGACCCCTCTTGCAATCCCAGTCCCAGAACTTGCAATTTCCAGTAAAAGTGGGAGACCATGATGTGCTGTTGGCCTTCAAATCCTACTAAGCATACTAAGCTGTATTAGCAGAACTGGCAATGTGAACATCAAAAGACAGTAGTTAAAACTTGACTTAAAAATTCGTTTTGAGCGTGTAGAATTTCAGTTAACAAGTCACTGCATAAACAAGATGCAGTTCTAAAAGTGAGTATTACATTCATAGAATCATAGAACGATTTGGGTTGGAAGGGACCTTAAAGATCATCTAGTTCAAACCACCCCTGCATGGGCAGGGACAACTCCCACTAGATCAGGTTGCTCGAGGCCCTGTCCAACCTGCCCTTGAAGACCTCCATGGATGGGGCAGCCACAACCTCCCTGGACAACCTGTTCCAGCATCTCACCACTCTCACAGGAAATAACTTTTTCCTAATGTCCAACCTGAATGTCTCCTCTTTAAGCTTCAAACCATTGCCCTTTGTCCTCTCACTATAAACCCATGTAAAAAGCCCTTCCCCAGCTTCCTTGTAGCCCCCTTCAGGTGCTGGAAAGGTGCTATAAGTTCATCACGGAGCCTCCACTTCTCTAGGCTAAACAATCCCAACTTCCTCAGCCTGTCTTCACAGGGGAGGTGCTCCAGCATCTTTGTGGCTCTCCTCTGGACAGGCTCAAGGAGCTCTATGTCCTTCTTATGTTGGGGGCTCCAGAATTAGACAAGTACTCCAGGTGGGGTCTCACCAGAGCACAGCAGAGGGGGAGAATCACCTCTCTCGACTGGCTATGCTTCTTTTGATGCAGCCCAAGACATGATTGGCTTTCTGAGCTGCAAGTGCACATTGCTGGCTCATGTTAAACTTCTGGTCTACCACTACTCCAAGTCCTTTTCTTCTGGGCTGTCCTCAATCCTCTTCCCAACCTGTATTCATGCATATGATTGCTTTGACCCAGGTGCAGAACCTTGCACTTGGCCCTTCTCGAGCCTGCCAGGGTTACTGCCTACCAGTGCGTTGACTTCACCACACAGTCTGGTGTCATCAGCAAACTCGCTGAGGGTGCACTCAATTCCAATGTCCATGTTGCCAAAAAAGATGTTAAATAACACTGATCCAAGTACCAAGTACTGAACCTTGAGGAACACCACTCATCACCCATCTCCATTTGGACTTTGAGCCATTGATCACAACTCTTTGGGTGCAATCAGTCAGCCAGTTCCTTATCCAGTGAGTGGTCCATGCATCAAATCCATATTGTTCCAGTTTTGAGACCAGAATGTCATGCAAGACAGTGTTGAAAGCTCTGGACAAGTCCAGGTAGATGACATCTGTTTCTCTGCCTTTGTCCACCAAGGCTGCCACCCTATTGTAAAAGGCCACCAAATTAATCAGGCAGGACTTGCCCTTAGTGAAGCTGTGTTAGCTGTCACCAATCACCTCTGTCACCTCTGTTGTTCTCATGTCTTAGCAGGTTCTTGAGGAAGATCTGCTCCAAGATCTTGCGAGGCACAGAGATGAGACTTACTGGCCTGTAGTTGTCTGGGTCTTCTTTTTTTCCTTTCTTGAAAATGGGGGTTATGTTTCCCTGTTTCCAGTCAGCAGGACCTTCACCAGACTGCCATGACTTCTCAAATATGATAGACAGAGGCTTTGCAACTTCATCCACCAGTTCTTTCAGGAGCTATGGGTGAATCCCATCAGGTCCCATGGACTTGTCCAGCTTTAGGTTCTTCAGGTGGTCTCAAACCTCCTCTTCATCTCCTTTTCACAGTCCCTGCCTTTGGTTTCTGTAACATGGGGGGAAGGGAGGGGTGTGGTGTGATCACAGACCATGCTGGTGAAGACTGAGGCAAAGTAGTCATTGAGTACCTCAGCCTTCTCCACATCTTGGATGACCAGCTCTCCCATTTCCTTCTGAAGTGGGGCCACATTTTCCCTAGTCTTCCTTTTATCATTAACGTACCTACAGAAACTTTTCTTAATGCCTTTAACTTCCCTTGCCAGATCCAATTCTCCTTTGTGCTTTTGGTTTCCTAACTACATCTCTGTACTTCTCCCAGGGTATCTGTAAATTTTGTTTTTACACCTAAGTGTGTCCAGGAGTTCCTTGCTCATCCATGCAGGCCTCCTGGCACTCCTGTCTGCCTTCCTCTTTGTAGGACACATTGGTCCTGGACACACAGGAAGTGGTCCTTGAATATGGACCAGCTTACCTGGGCTCCTTTCC